GGCCAGCAGACTACCGCGCGCTCCCAAAGCGCGCTACACCCTAAACCCTAAACCCTGAACCCTAAACCAGAGGTTCCCATGTTCGACTTACCCCCTAAGCCCCGGCTGACATGCTCCCACTCCTGGCATCTTATCAGCCCTCAAGCCGAATGCAGGGGCCAAAGTAACTCAAATAGGGGAATTTTGGGGATATAGAATAGTACAACGACAGAATATACGGACCATAAGGGGGTACTCCTAGCAGTTGTTCCGACCCACTCTCTTACATCTTTCTTTACTTGCACTAGGGGCGGGGTCCGTGCTTCGTGGTCATCCCGCAGTTGCTTAAGAACCCCCCTCCCCAAAAAAACAAAAATATTCTTCCTTATAAGGGCAATATAGAGGTTATGTTGTTTTTTACTCTTTTTGGGGTTCTCAAGCAAGTAGTAGTCATGGGGAAGGCCCGGCATGTGAATGATTTCAAGCTCCAGGCCAGGGCTTGAGCTACAGCTAAGGTAGGACTTAGGTTTCAGAGCTCAGGGTTCATAGGGTTAGGGTGTTTAGGGTTTAGGGTGTAGGGTTTAGGGTTCAGGGTTCATAGGGTTCATAGAGGGTTGAGGGCTTAGGGAGTTGGGGAGATGCTCCTGGCCTCAATTCTTTGTCAAGGTTGGGAGCAGTTGCAGGCCAGTCACCCCCTGAGGCCCAAATGTGCCACAAGACTTGTTTAGGGTTTGGGATGTGAGAGGCCTTGTTGCGTGGCCGGCCGTGTGCCAAGTGTGAGAGTGGAATCTCAACACCCTAAGCCCTAAACCCTAAGCAATACCCAAAGGGCCCTAAACCCTAATTAACCCCTACAAAATTCCCAAAGCCCGAAACCCTAAACCCGAAACACTAGCCCTAAACCCTAAACCCTAAACCCTAAACCCTAAACCCTAAACCCTAAACCCCTGAAGCATGGAGAGCCCTGAGAGTTGAAACCCTTACAGCTGTGGGAGGATGCCGGCGGAGTACGTCCGGGAATGGTTCTTCGCGAAGCACCCGTCCGCAGCCATAGGCGTCCGGGGTTTAGGGTTTAGGGTTTAGGGTTTAGGGTTTAGCGTGCTTGCAAAGCTTGTAGTACAGGGTTTATGAGGGTTTATCAGGGCTTGCAGGGGTTGAGGGCTGAGGATTGAAAGAGGTCACCCGGCACCCCCCCATCCTTGGACCTCAGCAATTGGGGGTTTTCCGAAATTTTCCTTTTTGATTTTTTGAGTTGATCCTTCCAATTGGGGTCTGTATGAGGGATCCGTAAACACCTCACATTTGAGTAAGCATACGAGATTTGTGGTCCAGCTCTCAACAAATCACTGGCATGAAGAGGCTGTGCAACTGTTCTGCTGGCTATGAGGCGTTGGCATTTCCCAGTGTATGAGTCTGGACACCTGACAGGGTTTAGGGTCTTGTGGCGAAGTGCGAAGCCTGTTGCAAGCGTCTAAGACCATGTGCGTAGGCTCCAATCCTCGCTTTCCACTTCGTGCATTCTCGCTTACATCGACTGAAAGAGACCAACCATTGCAGCAATCTACCCATGCTAAGCAGAATGTCCGCGGCTTCCGCCACCACGAAAGTTTTCTCGATCATGGGTCGTCTGCCTTTCAACCATCCATAGAACACGACTCAGACAGAGTAAACACTGCCTGTACAGTTCGGTCTGCACACATGCTTTGAAAAACTTTTGAACCCATAAAGACGCCTGCAGATATCCGTGCCGGCGGCTTCAAAGGATTCCTGATGCCCTGTTCTTGAGTACAACAGCGCACATAGTTCAATGACTGCTCCCGTGAAACGCATGAGCACTTCTTGTTTTCTTGCTTTCGAGCTCTGCCGTTTGGTCTTTAGCTCGTTCTGGACTACAGCAGCTAGTTCACAGTGGTTGGTGAATCCTCACACGCGCGCGTTCCCTGGTTGGCACATGCTTCCCCTTTTTTGCCCCTCCCATGGCAGACTCACCTGTCCTCCGCCTCACTGTTGCCAGCGTCAGGCCACATCTGGTCCAACATCTCGTCGCTCAACAAGGAGAATGGCTGAGCGAAAACTTCCCCGCTCCCCCACCCGTCCCAAATCCTGAAGCAGTGCAGAACGGCGAGGGTGAGAGCCCACCTTCGAAACCACCTCTCGTTTCCCCTGTCACGGTAGCCAGCCCTAAACCCTGAACCCCAAAAGGGCACCCTCATGAGAATATGGTTGCTGGGCTCCCGATGCCTTTTTTTGAGGAGATCGGCCGTGAGGCCGTTCCCTTCACCCTGGACTTCTAACTCAGGGGCCCGCGGAGCGGGAGACTTCAAGTGCAGCTGACATTTGGCGTCTCTTGCGCTGCAGACTTATAGGGTGAAGGGTTTGAACTTCAGTTTCAAATCAAAGGTTTTCAGAGGCGTTTAAGTTTAGGTGTATACAGTTCATGAACTTTGGCCGTTTAGGCTTCAAAGCCTGGCCTAAGGCCACTCCATAGTACCATAGCCCAGGCTGACCGTCCTCGAGGGTCCGTCCACTCCAGCGCCTTTCTGTTCCAGCAGGGGATGTGCGACTTGGCTCCAGGCAAGAGCCGTGTCAAATACGGGAGTGTGCATCATCACCGACTTAGAATTCCTTAAAAGAAAGGTAGAGTGCAAAGCAGATACCCGAAGTACCCATGACATCATCTCAATGCCGCCCTTAAAAAAAGCACACCAGGTTAGAAGACTGCTTGTGAAAGGTACAGACAGAGCCAAAGGCTTGAAAATGACTTCCGTGCACATAGATCTGCGTAGTGCATAGCGAGCCCTATGCCACTGTAATCCCTGTGCCACCATACTCCCTCTGATGGACCATGAACCATTGGGGGGGTTCTGCCAGGCCTCGGCCCAGCGGCCAGTGAGGAAGATAGGTCGCGGGCTCGAGAGGCTATGAGCTTCTTGGCAGGCATGTGGTGGTTTTATGCGAGATACCCTCGCTCCAACCCAGACCGCTGGAATGATCCAAGAAGTAGATCCCATAAAGGCTTCCGAGGAATGCTCTTTGGGGGTTCTCCCTTTTTAGATCCTCCAAGGGGTTTGGGAGCAAGCGCGCTTGCAGCCATCAGTTTGAGACAAGGCTGCGAGTGATCCCTATGCCGTACAAGACCCCGCCCCCTCAACCCCCAGTCGCAAGCTGCAGGGTTGAGGACGAGCGTACCTTGCCTTTGCTGTTCTCGTGTACTGGGCGCTGGTGACGAAAAGCCCTAAACCCTAAACGGCCCTTAAAGCAATGCACCCTTTTTCCCTTTTTGTTTGCTTCAAGGTTCCCTTGTAAAGTAACCAACCCAAAAAAGGGTGCCCTTATCAGAATATGGCTACTGGACTACCAAGCTGGGTTTAGGAGGATCATATTCAGGAACATTTTTTCAGAGAGGGTTGTAAGGGCCATCCTAGTATAGCTTCGCCAGCATCGACTTCATTCCCCTGGAGAGATGGAGGAGGACGAGACAGTGAGTGACACAGAAAATTCAGGTCGGGGTCATTACTGAGAAGTATTCCCTGATTGCCCTATCTAATTGTTCTATGATAAACCCCCCCAAAACCCTATTCGAATTATTAAGGCCCCTATATGATGAAACTACAATACCCCCCCCCCCCCCCCAAGAAAAAAAACCTTCTAACGATTCAGGCCCTTATATTATGCACAGTCAACAACCGCCGACGCGCTGCTCAATTCGTTGCTGTAGGCTTGCCATCGGCTTGCGAAATCATGACTACTAATCGCTTAAGAACCCCGAAAACATATTCTTTTCGGGTTCTGAAGCAAATAGTAGATGAATCTGGCACCCTTCAACACTATGAAGCCCCAGCCCTGTAGATCTCTGAGTGCGAATTGAACCACTAAGCCGCTTAGCCCTACATCACGCTTATGAAACCCCAAACCCCAAGCGGGGCTCTAAGAGTCTTACACCGTCGGGAAAATGGCGAAGGGGAGGTCAGGTTGTAGTGGGGGCAGTAGTTTTTTGTACGCTTCTGGCTTATTGGGCCTGAGATGGTCCGCCTGGAGCTAAGGCCAAGGCTCCACGACCTTGCCGCCCACCGAGGTGAGCTTCGAGCTCTCGCGATGCGGGCTCGAACGAGCCACTCGCGAGCCCTAGACGACTCTAGTGCCCCGATCCGCCAAGCAGGAGTTGTTAGTTATGCAACCATTGTTATTACTATTAGTACTGTTATTAACTATTATCATCATGATTATTCGTCTTGTTATTATTCTTATTCTTATTCTTATTATTATGAGCATGATTAGTGTTATTCTTATTCTTACTGTTAATATTGTACATATGCAGTGTGTATATGTTTTGAGTTGGCTAGTCTGGTTAAGGCTTTGGGCTTCGGGGCAAGTGCGCAACGCGACCGCACCGGAGCCTGCTGCGCGCGGCATCGAAAAAGACTTTCATGGGCAGGTACTGGATGTCCATCGTGTATTGCTGGAAGGCTTCGTTTGGCTCCGGCAGTGTTGTATGAAAGACATGTGGAGTCAAGTTCATGGTCATACGACTGAGGGTTTTCCATTTTGCTCTTTTGCAGTGCGTCGTCTTTCGTTTTGTCAAAGGTTTTTAACCGGCGAACCCGCTTGCCCGTCCATATCAGTATATTCAGCGCCTTACGTTGCGGTACTGTGAATGGCTCAGTGCCAGCAACTGGGCCGCATAAATCGTCGTGCTGCCTTAAGGGGACAGTTTGCGTTAGCCCCCCCCCCCCCCCCCCCGTAGGCCAGCAGCTTTCAGTGGAAATGGCAAGCCCAAAACCTACACCCTGAAGGACATACAAGACACCAAACCTCTCCACCCTAAACCCTCAGCTGGCCCTCAACCCTAAACCCTCAACCCCAGACAGACACTAAAACCCTCAACCCTTAACACGAAAACCCTAAACCCTCAAAGTCTAATCCCTACATGCCAATTCAAGACACTAAAACCCTAAACACTAAAACCCTAAACACGAAAACCCTAAAACCCTAAACCCCAATTCAAGACAAGCGCCTGCCAGGGGCGCCAGAGGACCCTTGGGAGGACGATGACCCGTGGAGCCAAGGCAAGTGAACCTCGCCGACGGAGCTTTACTTACTTCGCCTTTAGTTGAACTTTAAACTTTTTGGGCTTCCTTATTTGGTAGGAATATTAAAGTTTAACCTTTTTTCCCCTTGGCTATAGGAGAAGTAAGTTTAGGGTTTAGGGTTTAGGGAGAAGGGGTGGTGGCAGTCGTAGTCGGCACAAGTCTACGCGGCTTTACGTATCAGCTGATTCTTTCACTAGTTGTGATTTCCAAGATTTGTCAGCTGCAGCACCAGGTCAAACCACAGCAGGGTGCCGCGAAGCCCTAAAGCCGAGAGCCGGATGCCGCTCAAGCCTAAACACTACACCCTAAACTTGGGATGTTCCCCCTTATACTAGCAGTCCTTAGCAGGCGTTATAATCGGAGGTACTTACAATCCCTATGAAGGACTGTTAGTAAAAGGGGGAACATAACAACCCCAAACCCTGAACCCGAAACCCTACACCCTAAACCCTAAAGAAGTTGGTAAATGTAGTTTCCGAAGTGGTCCACGAGGCGTGCGCCTTGCAGCTCGTGATCCTCCGGAACTGGCGAGCACGAGATCGCTGCCTGAGAAAGGACTGGCGGGTGGCCGGGTGTCAGATTTTAGGGTTTAGGGTTTGGGGTTTAGGGTGTGGGGTTTAGGGTTTAGGGTTTATAGGGTTTAGGGTTTAGGGTGTCGCATCGGTCAGTTGAGCGAAATAGTGTGAAGACATGCCCAGTCCAAGGCCACCCAATCACAACTCGCAGCGAACCAAACCGGAGCCAGCCCAAAGGAAGCCAAAGCCACTCAGAATTCACATGTGGGGGACACTTCAGCCATTTCGGACACTTGGAGGCTTCAAATGCTGATGTCGAAGGTTTCAGGTGATTGGACCTGGGCAAAGGACTCCATCCTTCAATGTTTGCGCTGGGACAGTCTGGGCCAAAGGACCCTTTCGTTGATTCTGTACAGGGCCCGTAGTTATCAGTAGAGTTATAAGGACCCTAAGTTAGGTTGCAAGGATCCTAACTTGGGTTATACGTCCCTTAACTATAGCTCGTATAGTAAGGGGGCCCCTCCTTGTAGTCTCGATGTTGAAAGGGCCTCCCGCCGGGCCTTCCAGGCTTCGGAAACCCTAAACCCTGAACCCTAAACCGTAAACCCTAAACCCTAAACCTCAGGCTTTGACTGGCTGCCCACCGTCTCAACCTGTAGACAGCTTCTCCGTCCTCGCCAGAAACCTCCACGGGCCTGTCCCCCCAGCCCGTGCAGGCGCCTCAGAGGCGTTTTAGGGTTTAGGGTTAGGGTTTCGGGTTTAGGGTTTAGGGTTGAGTTTAGGGTTTAGGGTTTAGGGTTTAGGGTTTAGGGTTAGGATTAATATCTGCTCGACTGCGCCCGCCTACACAGCAGAGGTGAGTGGGGTGTCGCGCGGTGTAAGGGCGGGGACCCACGCAAGCCTGCAGCAACAAGCTAATAAGAGGATCAGATTAGGAACATTTTCCAGAGGCTTGCTAAGGTCATCCTAGCTAGGCAGTCCCTAAACCCTAAACCCTAAACCCTAAGTTTACCCTAAACCCTAAACCCTATCAGCACTCGACATTTTCAAGTCTACGTGCTCGAAGCCGCACGACCTGAAGATTCTTGGAGTCCAGGAGAGTCCCCCAAGAATGGGAAGCCGCCAGCTGTGCACGAGGCCCCATCGGGTTTAGCGTTTAGGGTTAGGGTTAGGGTTTAGGGTTTAGGGTTTAGGGCTAAGGGTTCAGGGTTTAGGGGTTTCCGGAAGTTTTCTTTCGGAACATGTTTCGGAGGGTTCGGAGGGCTATGCGAAGGTTCACAAACTTGTGCTGCAACTGCACCTTATGCCTTCGACGAGGAGCCTCCTCCAAGAAACAGGCGCCTTAATTTGAGACGAAAAGCCCTAAACCCCAAGCCCCTGGCGGCAAAAAAACCCTAAACCCTAAACCCTAAACCTAAACCCTTCCCCCCCCCCCCCCCCCCTACCACCCAGGAGTCATGGATGCCAGCAGCGGGGTAATCACGAAAACTCCCAGTGGGGTTAGGGGTAAAGGTTAGGGTTCACCCCTAAACCCTAAACCTTAAACCTTAAACCATCACTAGGAGGAATGAGGCTCTCCTTTTTCGTGCCTTACCGCATAGTCATTGGGCGGCCGTCTGACCTCTTGCGCTGGGGAGGTTTCAAGGCTATAAGGAAGTGCCGCTGGCCTTTTTGCAGGATGCCGTGGTTTGTGGAACGTCTAGGGTTTAGGGTTTAGGGTTTAGGGTATAGGGTTGCTCTGAGGACTTGGGTACCGCATCGAAGCTTTAAGGCTGGGAGGCTTAAGCGGCTGAGATCTTCACTTCGCTGTTCTTCTCTTTTAAGCTCATGCCGGCCTCAAACCGGTTTTAAGACTTCTATGGCGGGCTCGCTATTCAACCTAAAACCCTAAACCCTAAACCCTAAACCCTAAACCCTAAACCTTTATTTGCATAGTCAGGCCTGGGCGCAGTACGTGCCCGACGTTCCCAGAAGTGGGGAGCCCAGAGGGTTGTGCATGAATGGGGAGGGCGGAGCAGTTCAGGGTGCGAGCCCCGAACCCTAAACCCTAAACCCTAAACGCCCTAAACCCTAAGCCCTAAGCCCTAAACCCTAAACCCTAAACCCTAGCCCTAAACCCTAAACCCCAATCCCCAACCTGTGCGCGCGCTAGCGGTGCGAGTCGGAGCCCTAAAAATGGACCTCGCCTTGAGCCCAGGACCTCCATCGCGGCCACAGAACCACAAGCAGGAGCCGCGGTTTCGGGTTCGGGGTGTAGGGTTTAGGGTTTGGGGTTAGGGTTTAGGGTTTAGGGGTTAGGGTTTAGGGTTTAGGGTTTAGGGTTTAGGGTTGACCGAGTTTCGAGCTTCCGCGCGGTTTGCGGCTGAGCAGTCTCAGAAAAAGGGTTCAGGGTTGGGGTTGAAGACCCTTAGGATGCCAGACAGACCTGTCGGGTTCTGCTGTTGCAGAGTTTAGGGGTTTCAGGGTTCAGGGCTTGGGGAGGTCCATGGTGCTTAGCAACCCAATGATAACTGTCTCATAGCCCAAGTATAACCATGTGAGGGCACTTAAGGGGCTTAGAAGTGGGTCATAGGTGCAGTGATAATTGGTTACTAAGTACCCTGAACCTCCAAGTAGCCCCAATGTACAGGGTTCTTAAGGGCGGGGGGTTCAAGGGGTGTATGTGACCCAAGGTTCCTTAATACTCCCTACCACTCCCTAAGGCTCCCTAAGCTTTCCTAAGGTTCCCTAGGTACCCACCCCCCCCCCCCCCCCCTTGAACACTAAACCCTAAACCCTAAACCCTAAACCCTAAACCCTAAACCCTAAGCCCTAAGCCCTAAGCCCTAAGCCCTGAGCCCTAAGAACCCTATACCCAATGGTGCTTGCGCAACCTCTCCCGTGGCGAGGAGTACCCGTCCTGGGAGCAGGAGGCCGGCCCGAACTGCATCTGCACCAGTGTTGCAATGAGAGGGAAGGCCCCCAGAACCCTAAACCCTAAACCCTGAACCCTAAACCCTAAACCCTAAAGCCTAAACCCTAAACCCTAAACCCTAAACCCTAGCAGACCTCAACTTGGTACCCCAAGCCCCAACCCTAAGCCCGCCCTGTGCTCGAGCTACCCAGCGGCCCGGCTGCAAGCCACCCTAAACCCTAAACCCGAAACCCGAAAGCCTTGAGAAAAAATGTCGGGGTTAAGGGTCGCAGTCGACTTCCTGTTCTTGTTGAGGAATCCAATGGCACTGCTACTATATGGGACAAACCCTAAAGCCAAAACATCCCAGGCTGCCACAAGATAAAGGCACCTATTGAGCCCAGAGCACCCCTCTACGCCTTTGAAAATCACCCCCCGAAAGCCGAGGACCAAAGATCCCTTCCACCCTGTTCTACCCCTCAAGCTTAGGGTTTGGAGTTTGGAGTTTTGGGGCTCAATGTTGAACATGGCCCTTTAAACCTGTAGAATATCATCTTTGCTGGTTCTGGGTAGGGCATGAGGTAATTAGGCACCTTACACCCGTTTATATATATATATATACACACACACACATATATATATATATCCCTAAACCCTAAACCCGAAACCCTAAACCCTAAACCATATAAATCTATAAGGGAGTCTATGAGTCGCAGCGTCATGTGGGAGGTCACAGTGGTGAGCTCTTCGCTTGCGCAGGCCCAGATTTGGTTCCTTCCTGCGATTTGCTGAAGACCCCCCCCCCCCCACCTTCCCCGAAAAAAACCTTCCTTATAATGGCAAAGTAAGACCCTCGGGGGATGGCGCGGCAGAGAGAGAGAGAAGGGCATTGTCTTTTGCTTTTGGGGCGTTCTTAAGCAAAAATCGTAGTTTTTGGGTTGGCTACTCACAGGTCGGCCAGATCCCTCAGGTTGTTACAAGGAACGTTGAGGGAACAATGCCCAGGCAATGTCCCTTTGAGTATTAGCTGGGACGCCTCGTGAGGGGTAGCCTTTTCCGGGCTTTGTTTGGGCTTCCTTTTAAACGTCTTTCGGTGCTCAGGGTGGCCCCGATTAGGAATTGTGGGAGGGTTTAGGGGTGTAGGGTTCACGGTTTCAACTTTCCTGTTGGAGGCCTGGATGCAAAGAAGGGTTAAGGGTTTAGGGAGTCTGGAACTTGTCTGCACTGCTTAAGGACGGAGCAAAAGAGGCCTTCTGATTCAGGAAAGAGGCAGTGGCAGCCACTCGCGTCACTCGGGTGGACTGCCTGTAGTCAAGTAACACACTCTCTGAGGGCAATCACTCTCATCCCCCTTTGCTGAAACAAAGCACCCTTTGCCACGCTGTCTCTGCTCGAGTGAAGAAGCTTGCAACATCTGCATTCTTCCTTATGCTTCACTCATGCTGGGCCCAACAATTTTGGGCAGGAACGCTCTCTCTTGGCACCGCGTAATTTAATTGAAGAAAGAAACCTCACGTCATGGAAGACGTTCATGAAACAAACTTTTGGTCGAGATTTCCGGTCCCAAACTGTTTTATTCGCTTCTCACAGCCACTTTTCATACTTCGAAGCACCACAATAGGCTACAGGAGTTCACAGAGTTGCCTTTGATACCGGGGTGTTTCGACCTGCGACCCAAGGTGTTCCCTGATAAAATTGCGCAGACAAAAAGGTGCTTAAGGGGCCCAGAAGGTTCCCGTTTTAAACCCTTTTTGAGTGCAGAAGATGGGACCCTTTCATTCTTAGGTTTCGTTGCCTGCGCAAGTGGAACATGGAAGAGGTCCACTCGAGTAACCCTAAACCCTGAACCCTAAACTCAGGGCCTGGCCGCCCCCCTACAGAAGGGGGGCGGCGCTTAAGCCCTTCGACTTCTATGGCGAAAGTCGACCCAGGTCGCTTGCCCGCCTCCTGCAGCCCGGAGGTCGGTAGCACCCACGATGGGCTCGGTACCGGAACACGTTTTTCTCGGCACCCTCAAGCCACGGCTAGCATTTTCGGGGGGGTACCCCCAGGGCCCCAGGCCAGGAGGACCCGGACCCCTCGCCGCAGCGTGTCCAGGGACCAGGGGGGCCTCAGGCTGGGTGGGTGCTCAAAAAGTGTTTTTTTGTGCATCTCTTCCTCCGGCCTCACCCCCCTGGCCCCCCCCCCTGGCCCCCCCCGGAAGTAAGCGATTGTCATGAGTTTAGGCCTAAACCCTAAAAAGAATAGGTTTGGGTAGTTTTGCCGCCGGCGTGGCCTTCCACAATCGGGCCAGAACTGCTCTTCGCACTTGACGAGGCACTCGAGCCGCTGCTGCACCCAAACCTTCACAGCATCTACGCCCTATCACAGCAAACCCTAAACCCTAAACCCTAAACCCTAAACCCTAAACCTTTTTTCGCCGAGTAGGAGAAAGAGAAGGGGCCTTGGCTTCAACGCCATGTGAGACTCGCTGAACAACTTCGGCACCATGACTACACGTTCACCACCTCCAGGAAACCCGAAGCCTTTTGGGATGTTCCCCCGTGTGTTTAGGGTTTAGGGTTTGGGGTTTAGGGTTTAGGGTTTAGGGTCCTGAATAGGGATTATAGTACCCCCTACTGTATTCCTTATTATGGACGGTTAGTATAAGGGGGAACATCCCACCTCAGCGCATGAATCCAATCCCTACGCGAACTCAACACCGAAGCCAGAAGCCTTCTGCTTGCCAGTGTGATAGATTGTCTTGAGAGTGGGGTTCATGGTTGGTCGTATCGCGCAGGTAGTGCAGGCTTCCAGAAACGAAAAAGAACCATGTCTACCAGAAAGTAAATAACAGCAGCACCTTCACTTCCATCCTAAACCCTAAACCCTAAACCCTAAACCCTGAACCCTCTTTCCCCATAGACGAACTTCGCCTACTTCCGCCGCGACGCCCGCTCCCACGTGCGGGAGATTCAGAACGAGTTCCTGCCGGAGGTTGCTGGACAGGAGCTCCTTGGAGTTCTAGGTTTAGGGCCTTTAGGGTTTAGGGATTGCCGCACTGGAAGGGTTCATATACCCCATGCAGCTAAAGTCCCTTTGAAGCTCTGTGGACCTTAAACCCTTTCAGGGTTCCCTTGGTCCCTAGCTAAGTCGGAGGGAGCTCCAACATCCCCCCCCCCCCCCCCCCCCCCCCCAAACCTGATCACGGGAGTCATACTCGGACCTCCTAATATGGCTCTTATTTTCCCATAGAGGATCTTCAAAAAAGCTCAAACCCAAGTGTACAACCATTAGTGACTCGAGGAGTTGTCTGGCCTCTTTGTCCGGGACAACAGCCGGGCGTGGGCCTTATGGGACGTCCTTGCGGTGTTTTAGGGTTCTACACACCTTCATAAGGACTAGGGTTTAGGGTTTAGGGGACGTGTGGTTTTCATCTCCTGGGAACCACCCATCGGGACCAGCACAGTGTAAAGCACTGTCTGCTATTTTCGGCTGGTGGTTGTTCGGTGATGAATCTCAGGGTGCTCCCTGGGGCGGCCAAACCTTGTCTTTCAGCACTTGGCCTTCACTAGTGAGCACCTGAAGACCCCAGCAATGGCTTTCTGCGCCCACAAGCCCGCAGCCACTTAACGTTGGAGCGAAGGTCAGTGCTGTTCAGAGCATGGGAACCATCGCCGACTGAAGCCCAAAAGCCTGAGGCTCCAGGGAATCGAGCAGTGCCCAACCTTCCGAAACCCCTGAACAAGCTTTTCGGCTGGGGTCCTGTCCAAGGTACGCGAGTTTTCGCCCAAAGACAAGGACCAGACATCAAAGAGGGGGTGGGTCGAGATGCTCTTTCTGCGGTCAGGGTGCTGGGCCTGTATCAACGATCTGTGGTGAATCTTCCGGAGTTGGGGTTGAAGGCAGGCACACATTTTGTGCGGTGTCAGGACCAGACTATGCAGCACTAGAGAAGCTCACACACGCCGGTAAGTCTGGCAGGTGGAAGAGAACCTCAAATCAGAGCCATCAATTCCTGAACCTTCTGAACCCTAAACCCTAAACCCTAAACCCTAAACCGATACTTACTGGTTCTGAGTAGAGAATGAGGGAGCTAGGCAGCCCCTAGACTCCCTTCAAGGGCTTGAAAAAGTGGGGGATGTATGCTACCCAATTCCTTCATTCTCTACTAAGAGACAGACTACTATTTGCTTAAGATCCCCCAAAGAATGAAAAATAAAATAATAATCCCTATATTGCTAGACCCTCTGGATGCAACGGCAGAGAGAGAGAGAGAGAGAGATTGCCCTTATAAGGAAGAATATGTTTGTTTTTACGGGAGGTTCTTAAGCAATTGGTGGCAGAGCCCAGCTAGGACGACCTGGACCCCAAACCCCAAACCCCAAACCCCAAACCCCAAACCCCAAACCCCAAACCCCAAACCCCAAACCCCAAACCCCAAACCCCAAACCCCAAACCCTAAACCCTAAACCCTAAACCCTAAACTAAGTGAGGGGTCGCTTCCGTCGAGCGACAGACCCCGAACGCTCGGCCGAGGGCCTTACAGCCCGAGCGCCCAAGCGAAAAGAGAAACGGAAAGGTGAGGGTTAAGCCTCACCGTCTGTCCTGGACAGGCCAACGGACATCGGCCTTTTTTACGACAACGTCAGTACTCGGCTTTGGGATGGCCGGCACCCAGACCACCTTTAGCGTAGCTAAAGTATAACCCCAAAGTATAACCCATTGTGTCTGGACGTGGTTCAGGATTTTGGGTTCAGGGTTTGCTGGGCCCCCCTGCCGGGGCCCCCTGCCCCTGGCGGCTTGGATTCCTGGACCAGAGGGCTCGTGAGGGGGTCTAGGCAGGCCGGTTGCTCTCTTCCGAGCCCACAAGGCTGGCCTCCAGACGCGGTTCAGGGTTGCGGGCTTTTGGGTCCCCCACCAACCGCCAAGTGCCCCCCGGGCCAAGGGCCCCCCCTTGCCAAAAACGTTCGGTCTAAAAGGGCCCCAGGCTCCCGGCCAAGGGCGTCCGACCCAACAGCACCCCCAAAGTGAAGGGCCCCGCCCCCCGAACCAAGGGCCGCCCCGGCCAAGGGCCCCTCCGGGCAAGGTTCTTCCTCGGCCGGGCAAGGGTTGGGGTTGAGGAAGGCCCCCCCGCGCCAAAGGGCCCCCGAGCCAAGGGGGCCGTACCATCAATGAAATTGTTTTTACTGTGTCGGTGGTTTTGCGCACCCCTCCAGTTTACACCAGAAGCGCCAGGAAAGCCCAGGAAGCCCCCAAGAGGCGCCAAGAGCCACCAACATGCTTCAAAAGCTTCAAAAGGCCTCCGAAAAGAAGGGGGACCCCAACATTTATCCGTGCCCGCAATGAAAAATGCGATTTTTGACTATTGAAAACGATGGTTTTAGGCACCCCTGCCCGCAATGAAAAATGTTGTTTTTTAGTACTGAAATCGATGGTTTTGGGCACCCCTCCTCCATTTCACCCCAAAAGGACCAGGAAAGCCCCAGGAAGCCCCCAAATCAGCAAGGGCCTCTACGGGCCCTGACGTGCCGAAGGCCCGAAAAGGGCCGAGGCTACCCCGAACCATAGCTTAAACCCTCACACCGCAAAAACTCTTCGAAGGCTTTCAAGCAAATAAGGGCCTCTACGGGCCCTAGCGTGCCGAAGGCCCGAAAAGGGCCGAGACTACCCCGAACCCCAGCTTAAACCCTAACGATTGAAATACTCATTGGCGAAAACAAGGCCCTGACACGCCGAAGGTCGCCGAGGCTACCCTCGACTCCAGCTTAAACCCCAACACCAACTTCAAAAAAGCAAGCATCGGTGCACAAGAAAAAGTCCATAAACCCTAAACCCTAATAGAGTATAGTTTGGGTGGCCGGGGTGGGTTGACGGGCAACGCGAGCGCGCGGCCCGGGGCGTTTCACACCCGAGCGCGCGCCCTCCCCTGACACCCTAAACCCTAAACCCTAAACCTACTTATAACTAGGGGGGCCCTCCTTGTAGGACGACCTGGACGGCTTCAAGACCTTTGTGGAGAACTTAGAGTGGTCTTCTTTGTCGTAGAGCCGAAAGGGGGGGGTTAAGGTTTGGGGTTTAGGGTGTAGGGTTTAGGGTTTAAGGTTTTGGGTTTGGAGTCCAGTTGCAAAAAGGGTTTAGGGTTTTGGGGTTAGGGTTTAGGGTTTAGGGCACAGGGCAAATGGGGGGCAGCTTCCTGAATTTTGGCGGAACCTAGATTTCAGGCTCCGTATCCTAGTCGGCGCAGGACCAGAATTTGGAGAACCCTAAACCCTAAACCCTAAACCTTAAACCCTAAACCCTAAACCCCAAGAGCCAAGGAAAGCTTCCTATGCCACGAATCGTAGCATTTCGGGGTTTAGACACTGCCACCCTTAGGCCCCCCAACAGCCTACTTGGGCTTCCCTGCCTTTGCAGTCCCATGCCAAGCCCTTTTGAGGTTTAGGGTTTAGGGTTTAGGGTTTAGGGTTTAGGGTTTAGGGTTTAGGGTAACCCTATGTCTGCTGAAAATTCATGTATACCTTCTACCTCAGGGTGTCAGAAAGGACCCGTAGGCGTTTGGGGGGACCCAAGGGGTGACGGTGTCTTCAGCATGCCCGATGCCCGATGTGGATATTTGCGATCTCCTATTGCACCCCGAAATGCGACTATCCTTGGCATAGGATAACCTTTCAAGCAGGAATCTGTAACCGCAACCAGAATGTGCCTCCAGGTAGCCAACGTCGAACGGGACGAAATGGTTCTGCTCGCCGCCATTGGCTCAGCCCCAGACCATTTTTCGGGTTTAGGGGTTGGGGTTGATTTAGGGTGTAGGGTTTAGGGTTGAGGGTTTAGGGTTTAGAGTTTGGGGAGCGGGAGGGGGTAGGGGTACCAAGTAAGCAATACCTTGCTCATTCTACGACAGCTCATTTTCAGAATTTGAACTGAACCCAGAACATCCCCTATGAAGCCCTGTCGTCTGTTTGCCCTCCAAGTTCTACCCACTTGGTTTGATGGCCCGAATGGTGAGGCCCTTGGAGTTTAGGGTTGAGGGGAACCCGAACCCTAAACCCACCCTAAACCCTAAACCCCCAGCCCCCAAAAGCAAAACTCAATCCCAACAGCCAGGCCTTGAACCTCCCACCGCCGGTGATGTCAGAGGCTTTCTCTGGGGGTTTCCAAAGTAGGCCGCAGGGTCATCTTCGGTTTTCCCTCTACTACTATTTGCTTAAGAACCACCAAAAACCACAAATAGTTCCTCCTTATAAGGGCAAAATGGGGATTGTTCATCTCTATTTTTTTGGTGGGGGTTCTCAAGCAAGTGCATCGAAGTTTATTGGGGCTTAGGGTAGTGACAAGCCTGTGGCGAAAGCGTTTAGGGTTTGAGTTCGTGTGTAAGGTTAGGGAGCAGAGGGCTTAGGGACATGTCTTCACAGGGGCTTTAAGCAGAGCAAGGCCCAACCCAACTTTTAGGGTTTAGGGTTTAGGGGGGGGGGAGTTTTGCGGTCTTTGGGAAAATTTGGGGGATCTGAGGGCGTCTGCAAGATTAGAGTTTGGTTGTAGGCTACCCTAAACCTTCAATGGGGTTTCGGGCTGCATTGCCTTTTTAAGGCCATCGAGCTACAATGCGCCTGCTGCATGCTGGGTTGTCTTGTGAGTTGCTCCCAAAACCCTAAACCCTAAACCCTAAACCCTAAACCCTAAACCCTAAACCCCACCACCGAAGCTCCAAGCCTCTGAGCTGGGCGGTCGCCTTGACTGTCGTGTGCGCGAGAAGCCGGAGACACTGCTCGTGCAAGAGCCTGCGAGTCATTCTGAGCCCTGTGGCCCTAGGGTTCAGGGTTCAGGGTTTAGGGTTTTGGGTTTAGGGACCCTAAGCCGGTTTCCAAAAAATGTCGAGACCGCCCCCCCAAGTTTGCCCTTTTTCATGTCTCCAACCCCGAAAAGCCCGACGGAGCAGGTGCTGGCCTGCCTGGAGCCTTTGGGGATCTCCCGCTGGAAGGCCCGGAGCTCATGGGTTTCCCTCCTGCGCCCCCTGTCTCAACTACTCCTCCTAAACCCTAAGCCCTAAATCACCTTAAGCAGGCCTACGTATCCCTAAGTAGCCTTAATTATGCGGGGAACCTGGGGGGATCTCCTGCTGTAAGGTCCGGAGCCCTCTTCCTCAAGGTACGAAAGGAGGGACGCTTCTAAGGGACCTTAGGGGTTATTTAGGGGCTACTTAGGTATCTAGGGACCATATGAGGTCTAGGGTTTAGGGCTTAGGGCTTAGGGTTTAGGGTTTAGGGTTTAGGGTTTAGGGTTCTCCTTCCCCTTAGTTCCACTGCTGCTTTTGGTTCCAAGAGTCTTTGCGCGTGCGTGGGGGGGGGGGGGGCGGGGGGTGCGGTTTTGGGAGGTCTGGGGGTTACCCCTAAACCCTAAGCCCGAAACCCTAAACCCTAAACCCTAAACTCTAAACCCTAAACCCTAAACCTTACTGGTTCCTACAAGGGACTCAAGGAGTTAGGCACCTCATCTACCCCACATAGAACCCTGAAGGGCATGTATGCAAGGTACCTAATTCCCTCGTTCCCGAAAATCCCCCATCGCTTCCACAAGGTCCCTAAACCCTAAACCCTAAACCCTAAACCCTAAACCCTAAACCCTGAACCCTGAACCCTGAACCCTGAACCCTAAACCCTAAACCCTAAACCCTAAACCCTGCAATGTTTGGGCTCGGCCCCCCAAGGCGACCTTAGACACGACCGGCATGACAGCGCTGGCTGTCATTGGGATCGCCGGGCGACAAACCTGGCAGGCTTTGAAGGGTTCTGGCATGGGTCCTTGGGTTAATTCGGGTATTTCAAGGGGTATGTAAAGGGTTCCCCAATGAATGGCCCAGACCAAGAGACCATGCAACTAGCCTAAGATGTCAACCCAAAGTAAAATCTCTGCTCACAACCGTAAGGTAGCAACATGTGTTCCCTGCCTGCAGTATTGGCTTGAAGCTTGCACTTTGCAAGCCGCGCTATGGCAGAGACCCGAAACCTTAAGCTCGGTCTCTTCAGATGTCCTATCTTTCAGTGTGTCCACTGTCTGACCTGCTCTTCCTTTCAGGCTGCAACACCGTATTGCGTGGCTAGCCGGGTGGAAAAAAAGCCCTGTACCCTTAGGCCCTAAGCCCTAAAGCCCTCAACCCGAACTGCATGGAGGATGGCGGCTTGCCTTGGGGACTGCATGAACCCCAAAAATGGGGCAGTGCATCTTAGGGGGTCGACTTGGTCTTCAAGGTGACTGACTGGGGACATCCGCGGGGTTTAGATCACTAAGCCACGAAGCCTTTCCGTTTCATCACCGGCCACTATATGTGCAGGTCAACGTGGACGCGGAGTACGCCACAACCTATGCAACTCACCTGACCTGGAACCTTCGCTCGTAGTTTAATTATTTCTTGAGGCCGGATGAACTTTGAGGTGGACGCGTGGAAACGTGCGACAACTCCCTTGTAGTGGGTAGAGTGCGGAGGTCGAAATATCCCAGGCCATCGAGTTCTTGAAGTAGTTGAGGTGGCCACGTGGGACTTGCAGACGCGGGTAGCGCAGCTAGGATTGTGAGGCCAAAACCCTACAACATGCGAAACTCCGAGTTCGATTGCATGTCGTGCTTGACGAAGATGATGAAGCCCTCAGGTCCCAACCCTAACCCTAATGAAAGATTTCGAGGGCGAAAGGACCCAGGCTGGCTGAAAGAGGTCAGGGATGTGCGCTCATGGAAGACGCCATTGCTATTCATTTGTCCTGGCCGTGTCGTTAACTCGTACTTAAGTGGTTATTTGTCCTATGTGGCTTCGGCCCGATGTCATGAATTCAGCTCTTCTGTGCTGACGCCGGGGGTCTTTGGAGTCCAGTGTTCAGGGGGTTTAGGGTTTGGGGTTTCAGGGCGCGCCATGCCGCCAATTGCATCTCAAGCTGCCCAGGTCCGCGTGGAGCGCCCGAGCCAGCAACGGGCGAGGGCGCAGGCGCCTGTTTTCCTGAGCTGTTCTGCCCCCTTTTGGGGGTACCCTGAACCCTAAACCCTAAACCCTAAACCCTTCTGCCTGAATCGAGAAGTGTACCAAGTTTAAAAACAGTGCGGGTGGCGAAACCCTTCTGCCTGGCTGCTATCTTATAAACCCCCCCAAGAAGATCCTACTGGCCCCTGAGACCCTAGCCCTAAACCCTAAACCCTAAACCCCAAACCCTAAACCCTAAACCCTAAACCCTAAACCCTAAACCCTAAACCCTAAACCCTAAACCCTAAACCCTTCTGCCTGGCTGCTATGAGATGCCACTTTCGAGCAGTTTATGAGTGGGTTCATGGGCCGCCTGGTGGGTTTCAGCGCTTCAGCGCTCCGAGGTTCCAGAGGGTTTAGGGTTTAGGGTTTAGGGTTTAGGGTTTAGGGTTTAGGGTTTAGGGCGAGGATTTAGGGTTGAGGGTTTAGGGTGTTAAGGGTTTAGGGTGCTTAGGGGCTTAGGGTTGCCCTTCCGAGTGCGATGCCAGGGGCCTGGCCTGCCTCCATCTGCGAGGCCGCGGCCGCAAGCAGCCGGTTTCCAGGACCCCAAGCCCTAAACCCCAAACCCTAAACCCTAAACCCCAAACCCTAAACCCTAAACCCCAAACCCTAAACCCTAAACCCCAAACCCTAAACCCTAAACCCCAAACCCTAAACCCTAAACCCTAAACCCTAAACCCCAAACCCTAAACCCCAAACCCTAAACCCTAAACCCCAAACCCTAAACCCTAAACCCCAAACCCTAAACCCTAAACCCTAAACCCTAAACCCCAAACCCTAAACCCCAAACCCTAAACCCCAAACCCTAAACCCCAAACCCTAAACCCTAAACCCCAAAATCCTCAGGTCTCTGAAGACGCCCAGCAGCTTAAGCCGAAACCGTTAGCCATTTCCCAAGACCTCTTTTAGGGTTTAGGGTTTAGGGTTGAGGGTACACCGCCTTTTTCTTGTTTTGCCACCCGTCTAGCCAAGCTCCACGGTGCAACTGCAGAGAGGATGCTCACACCGGCTTAGGGTTTAGGGTTATAGGGTTTAGGGTTTAGGGTTTAGGGTTTAGGGTTTAGGGTTTAGGGTTTGGGGGCTAAGGTTTAGGATTTGGAGCTTAGGGTTTAGGATTTAGGGTTTGGGGTTTGGGTTTAGGGTAATATCCCCACACCAAGCGTGGGGGGAGAAGACCTAGGGTTTCGGGTGTAGGGTTTTGGGCTTGGGTTTTTTTGTTTGGGTTTTAAGGTTTCGGGTTTATGGGGTTTATGGGGTTTGAAAGGTGTTTTTAGGGTTTGTAGGGTTTAAATAGTACCATAGCCCTAAACCCTAAACCCTAAACCTTTATAGGGTTTTTCAGGGTTTATCGGGTTGCTGTGAGTCCCCGGGAGAGTTGGCAGGAGCACCGCGACAGGTGGCAAAGAAAAGCTCCGCAGCCGGCCACCAGCTGCGAGGACCCGGCGCCATAGGGTATATTTTTAGGGTTTAGGGTCTAGGGTTTAGGGTTTAGGGTTTAAGGTTTAGGGTTATGGTACTAGATGCTTAAGCACCCCAAAAGAATTTAAAAACAATAATAACCCCTATATTACCCTTACAAGGGAGAATATGTTTTAATGTCTTGGGGGTTCTTGAGCAACTAGTAGAGAACCAGGGAGGGTGGGGTTTAAGGGGGTTGGGGTTCAGGGTTCAGGTATATTTAGGGTTTACCCCCCCCCCCCCCCCCCTAAACCCTAAACCCTAACAAACCCTAAACCCTTGAATTCAAGGGGTGGGGTCCCTAACATAGAATCCCTTTGTCAGTTTCAACCCAGAATGCCCATGATTTGGGTTTAGGGTTTAGGGTTTGGGGTTTAGGGTTTAGGGTTTAGGGTTTAGGGTTTTTCACATGTCCTGGTCCTGGAAATTGCACCGGATCGCTGCTTTCCAGGGCATAGGGTTTAGGGCTTACAAGGAGGGGCCCCCTTACTATACTAACTATAGTTAAGGGACTTTTAACCTAAGTTAGGATCCTTATAACCCAATTTAGGGTCCTTATAACTCTACTTATAACTAGGGGCCCCTCCTTGTAGGGTTTAGGGCTTAGAGTGAAGGTCCAACTCTGCAAGCAGTTGTCTGAGAAACCTGGAACATTGTTCTCGGCGACGGCGTGTGTATGCCAGCATCAAGCGCGCGACGGACGCAGTCGCAGAAACAGCCGCGTCCCTAAACCGCAAGCCCTAAACCCTCAACCCTAAACCCTGCGCGGGAGCGCAAAAACCCTAAGCCCTAAACCCTAAACCTTAAGCCCAGTTTGGGAATGTTGACCCGAGGACTCCACCTTGCCGCCCCGAAGCGAGCCTCCGCAACCCTCCAACTTGGAGGAGCTGTTTAGGGTTTAGGGTTTAGGGTTGAGGGTTTAGGGTTTAGGGTTTAGGGTTAGGACCCCTAGCAGGCCCCCCTTCCCCCATTTTTTTGGGGGATCCCATATAGCCACCTCTCAAACAAAAAGGGCACCCTTTTTATCTCTAGGCTACTTTTGGATTTTGAACTTGGTTTGGGGTTCCGAAATGAGGGGCACCTTATTGGGGTCCCGATTATAAGGGACTCCTACTACGTTGGGGTGTATATTAGGGATATTAGGTCATGGTTGAAAATCATTTTACATGTTTATGAGTACTTCAACCCAACAAGGAACAACAATGACTATTTTTCATAGTGCCCCCAACAATGGTGCACCCTCATTGGGGTCCTCATTATAAAAGAATCCTACAAACCATAAACCCTAAACCCTAAGCCCCTAGTGTATTAGGGATATTGGGGGTCCTAATCCCTAAACCCTAAACCCTAAACCCTTATGTTCGTAAAGCCCCAAAGTGGTTTGGGGCTAAGGGAGCACCGGCCTGCGGCTCCTTGATGTGTTTAAAGCTCCCACCCCAGAGAGCCCAATCTTATGTTGCCCCTTGTTGGCTTCGAGAGGGTTTAGGGTTTAGGGTTTAGGGTTTAGGGTTTAGGGTTTAGGGTTTAGGGTTTAGGGTTTAGGGTTTAGGGTTTAGGGTTTAGGGTTTAGGGTTAGCTGTAAAAAGGGTTTAGGGTTTAGGGATCCTATGCAGGAATGTTTTTTTCAGAGGGTTCTTCGGGCCATCCTAGTTTCGGCGCCCCTGGCATTTGTCCACCGGGAGCTCGGCCTCCCTCCATACGGAACGCTTGCGGGGTTAGGTTAGGGCCCTAAACCCTAAATCCTAAACCCTAAATCCTAAACCCTAAACCCTAAAACCCCAAACCCCAAACTTTGCGGGTTAGGTTAGGGTTTTGGGTTCAAGGCTTTGGTGTTTTTCCAGAGCAGAGCTCGACCCCGGTACCCGCAGTCTCGTAGGCCTGGATGGTAGCCCAGTGGTACCCTTTACCCTTTTTGGGTATAAAGTAACCAGCCCCAAAATGGGTGCCCTTGTGATAATATGGTTACTGGACTACCAAGACTCTTTCAGAACACAAGTGCTCGAAAATCCCCTGGAAAATTTTCGGCTGGAGCACCCTGACTGCACGTCTTGAAGCCTTGTTCACCCTGAACCCCAACCCTAAACCCTAAACCCAGATACCCCCCGAGTTACCTCCCTTCCGATGACAGGAGGAGAGGCCCCCGGAACATGAGCCGGAATGACCTGGCGATGCCAGGCCGGCCTGGTTTATTCGGACTGCGTTTTTTGGGTTTAGGGTTGAGGGTTTAGGGTTTTGGATTACAAAGAGTTCAGGGCCCAGGTATAAGTCACCATGTGCTGAGCTGTTCCCTACATGGGCGAGGATGGCAAAAGGTAAACCCTGCTGGTGATGACTTTGGTCAGCTATGTGGGGGCCAAAAAAAAAGGTTGGCTTTTGGGATAGGGTTTAGGGCTTAGGGGTTTAGGGTTTAAGGATATTTTGTACTTCCCTTCTTTGGGTTTATTTCATAGGAGCTTGTATCTAAATATGTTCCAAAGGGTTGTAAAAGGCCTTAGTAGCTGAGTGAGTACACTTTACACTTCTTGGGACAGTATAATCACCGACAGAGCTGAAAGTGTACACTTTTTGGGGCTTAGGAACTCAGCCGCTAAGAACTAAACCCTAAACCCTAAACCCTAAACCCTAAACCCTAAACCCTAAACCCTAAACCCTAAACCCTAAAGGGTCTGAAGCCCAGGGCCAGGCTCCCCTTGGCTCAGCTCAGGTCTTCGAGGACCTCCTCGAACCGGTCGGGCAGATGCAATGGGTTTAGGGTTTATCGTTTAGGGTTTAGGGTTTAGGGTTTAGGTTTAGGGCGATCTCCGCCTGGCTGAACTCTTTTTTCCCGGTCTGTTCTTGCTTCCAAGAACAACTTCAGGCTCCACTAGTACGGATCACTCCGTATTCTACCTGCTCGCAATCTGAAAGACAGTAGAGAAACTACCCTGGTGACGAGTCATCCCCTCCCACTATTTTCCCACTAACTCCATACTGCACCATGATTGGGTGTATTGGGGCCTCCTTATGTTGGTTCCAAGTGAGACAACTTCGTTAGGGCATTACTACTACTTGCTTAAGAGCCACTCCCCCCAACAGAAAGAAACATTCTTCCTTGTGAGGACAATATAGGGATGAGGGCAATATAGGCATGATTTTCCATTACTATTGGGGGTTCTGAAGAAAAGAGTTGGTTAGCTCTGGCTAGCAAAAGCACGGAGGCCTTCCATGTTGAGATGTTCCCCCTTCTACTAACAGTCCCTAATAGGGATTATAGTACCCCCTATTAAGGACTGTTAGTATAAGGGGAACACCTAAACCCTAAACCCCAAACCCTGAACCCTGAACCCTAATCCCAAGTTCCTCCTTTTATGCACCCGCAAACTTCCATGTATGACTAGGGGGGCGCCTGCACCGTGTGCCTCGCCACGCGACCGACCGACCCGCCCCCGCAGCGGTGGAAAATGCCAGTTGAAGAGCGCTTCCTGAACCACAGCGTAGGGCTTAGGGTCTAGGGTTTAGGGTTTTAGGGTTTAGGGTTTAGGGTTTAGGGTTGGCCTGATGCAACTAAGGTTTAGGGTTTAGGAACCCTAAACACAAAACACTCTGGAGACAGGAACTCCTAATGAAGTCGGGAACTCCACAGCGTAGGGGTCTTGAACTCAGTTTGGTTCTCCTGGGCCAGTACACCCTTAGGGTTTAGGGTTCAGGGTTCAGGGTGTAATATAGGGGCCTGAATAATTAGAATATAGTTTGGGGGGGGGGGTTATTGTAGTAGAATTACAAAGGGGCCATTGGGATATTCTTAGTAATTAGTCCAACCCGTATAGTACACCCCTGCTTACCGGAACCAGTCTCGATCTTACTAGGTTTCATCGGCGGGACAGGCGCGTTCCCTGGTTCTTCAAACTTCAGACACTGTTGACGGCCTTGGCAAAGTGGAATCTGATGAGGCCCCACATCGGGTTTAGGTTTTACTAGGGTTTAGGGTTTAGGGTTTAGGGTTTAGGGCTTAGGGTTTAGGGTTTAGGGTTTAGGGTGTTAGGGTGTTAGGGTGTTAGGGTTTAGGGTTGAGGGTTTAGGGTTGGTTCTCTAGCTGGGTCTGAGAAGGTCAGGGTTCGAGGCGCTTGCCCTCGAAAAGTGAGGTGATAGACGTGGACACCCAGAGGCACTTTCGAATGGCCGGCGCACGCTCTGGGCTGGTCTCTTGTTGAGTTGATGTGATTCCTTGGGATGTTTCCCCCTTTACTAACAGTCCTTAATAGGGATTGTAGTACCCCCTACGAGAATCCCTATCAAGGACTGTTAGTATAAGGGGGAACATCCCAAGTGCTTTCGCATGTGTCAGCTCCTTGTGGAGCCCTAAGCGACTGGGAAGCCTTCCAAGACTCCAAGAGCCAAGTTCGAGCAAAGGTTCACAGGCACCGAGCCATCGTCCAGCCTACTTGAAGATGCATCTTATTGTATGCGTGTATCGTTGCATTCTTTGATGGCTGTTCTTATATGATCATGTTCATAGATCTTATTGTATTTGGTTATCTACAACGTGCAAGGCAAGGCATCTTGCTTTAAAGTCCTCATCTATCCTCAAGCCAAGCTTGCACTGAAACTGGAATTGGACTTCTGAAGTTGAACAGGGTTTAGGGCTTAGGGTTTAGGGTTTAGGGACTCCTCCCATCTTGGCCCTTATGCCTCCGACCTTCTGCATCTCCAAAGCAAGAGAGCCCGGAGCCCCTTCCCGAACCCTCTGGGTTTATCGGATTTCTGGATCCCTAAACCCTAAACCCTAAACCCTAAACCCAAAAAAAAAACCGTAGAGTCTTCGGCCCCGCTGCTTTCTCGGGCATCCATTCCGCAGCATTTTCCGGCGCAGGGCTGCGTACGAGGGCACCTTGCCCTCGCCCACCCCCGCCCCCCACCCCCCCCACCCCCACACAGACCCGAATATAGAAGCTTCAATTGAAAAGATAAGTCTTATTAACTGAGTAGGTAACCTTTCACCTTTTGGCAATCCTACCATACTTGAAAGGTTCACTTTTTTGGCCGTTTACCCACCCACAGCTTGAACACGACTGCAAGAGACATGCAGCCCACCCTGAGACGAGAGGCAGTGCGACATCCGCAGCCAGCACCAACAGCACCAACCCCTAAACCCTAAACCCTAAACCCTGAACCGACATCAGGACAGCGCCATCTGCACCCGAGTTTAGTTCCAACAACAGTTTCACACACGATGGACCCGGAATATGGCAGATAGAGCCGCCCGGACATGGGATTGAGCAGTTGAAGGGGGTTTAGGCTCTAGTAGGGTTTAGGGTTTAGGGTTCAGGGTTAGGGGTTACTTGGCCATGGGCTCTATGTACCGCAAAATACTCGGATTTCTGGAGAGGCTGTGCCCCCCATCGGAGGTCAAGGAAAGAAAGTCGATGTTGTTAGCATGGCGTTGCTGAGGAGCTCAGGGGCACTTCAATGTGTGCATGGTTTTTTCGAGGGCCGCATCGAAAGCACGAATCCACACAGACAGACAGACAGACATATAGACAGCCAGCCAGCCAGGCAGACACACACACACACACACACAACGTACAGCTATAGTCAACTTGTACATACGGAACCTACAGCAAGATCCTACAAGTGTACCATATAGCCTATGCCCCAAAGCTTGAAAAACCCGTTGTAGTTCCCAGACTTTTGCCAGAATCTCGCGTGTACATTATTCTCAGTCAGTCGTACGCTATCACCTCTTAGTTTTTTTAGGCCAGGTGTTCGCGAAGCACTCAAGCCGTCGTGCTGAATCAGACGAGGGAAGGGCTGCAGTTTATGTCCCTATATTTTAACTCGGTTGATGGCCTGAGGTCCGTACAGGGAGGTAACCCTTCAAACCCTAAACCCTAAACGGAGAATTACCGCAACAGTGGCACCCTGTCGGCCCTGTCGGCCGAAAAAGCCCACATCGAGCATTGCCTAGGAAGCTCTTATCACGTGATCCCGAAACCCAGCACCTGAAGACTCCAAAACCCAAACCGACCCTGTCAGTGAAGTAGGTTTAGGCTTGAGGGTTCAGGCTTTAGGGCTTAGGGCTTAGGGTTTCGGGCTTCAACTGAAAAGGGTAAAGTTTTCCCGAGGTCACTTCCTCTGATGAGGAGTCGAGCTTGGAGCAAACGCTTGAGACCACCGCCGCTGGGCTCAACCTCCACGGGCCTTGTGGGGGCTGCTCCGATGTGTTTATTTACTATTTGCTTAAAGACCCCCCCTCCCCCTCCCTAAAAAGCACAGTAAATAAATAAATAAATAGACATATATGTATATATATATATAAACAGAAGCTCTTCCTTTATAGGGGTACTATAGGGATGGTTATATCTACTATTTGCTTAGGATCCCCCAAAAAGCATACCTATATATATATATACAAACAATCTTCCTTACAGGGGTAGTGTAGGGATGGCTGTCCTTGTGTTTTTTGGGGCGCTGCTCTTGGACCACCCAAAACCCTAACCCCATGGTAAAACCACAGGGCTTCAAGTCCAGAAGCTGCAAGGAGGGGCCCCCTTGCTATACTAACTATAATTAAGGGTCTTATAATTATAAGTTAAGTTGGATCCTTATAACCCAATTTAGGGTCCTTATAACTCCTACTTATAGCTATACTTATAACCCAGTTTAGGGTCCCTATAACGCTTCTTATAACCCAAGTTAGGATCCTTACAACCCCATTTAGGGTTCTCATAACTCTACTGATAACTAGGGTGGCCCCTCCTTGTACACCCTAAACCCGAAACCCTAAACCCTAAACCCTAAACCCCAAACCCCTAAACCTACTTATAACCAGGGGGGCCCCTCCTTGGGGGGGGGGGGGGGGGGGGGGGGGGGGGGGGGCGGGGGGGGGGGGGGGGGTGGGGGGTGTGGGACGGCGGAAGGGGGGGGGGGGGGGGCGCGGGGGGGGCGGGGGCAGGGCGGGGGGGGGGGGGGGGGGGGGGGGGGGGGGAACTTTGATGTAGGCTTTTGGGGTTTGGGCTTAGGGTTTTAGGGTTTTAGGTTTCAGGGTCTAGGGTTTTAGGGTTTTAGGGTTTAGGGTTTAGGGTTTTAGGGTTCTAGGGTTTTAGGGTTTTAGGGTTTAGGGTTTTAGGGTTCTAGGGTTTTAGGGTTTTAGGGTGTTAGGGGTTAGGGGTTTAGGGCTTAGGG